AGAGCCTGCGGGGCAGGAGGCTCCTGGGGACAAAGGGACGTTTCCCTCCCTGATTCATTAGCAGAGTCTTTGGAAGGCGCCGTTCCTGAAACAGGGACCCCGGGGGGGGGGGGGGGCATGGGGGAGACGCAGCTTGCCCCAAATCGCTGGGAGCAGAGCTGGCAATTCATTAATCACAAAAGCCCCTGGTGACCTTTTGCGAAAGGCTCTGTGGGCATCGCCCTCTCGCTCCGCTGCTCGTGATGGGCTGCATTGGCACCTCCCCAAAGGGACACCCGGCTTGTGATCCTGGCTGTCTTGTGCCCCTTCCCTGGCCTGGAGATGGGGAAATCCCACGATATCCAAGCCCTAAATCACGGTTAATGTTAACTGTGTTGAAAAGGTAGTAAAACTTAATTAGGGGGAAATGTCACTTACTTTCCCCAGTCCCTGCGCCCCCCCACACCCCCCCACACAAGAGAGAAGGGCGAGGGGATGAAAAACCCCAGGCTGCCTTCCTGAGGCTTGTTTTGGCTCCAGCTCTAAATCCACCGGAGGCTTCTGGGGGCTCATTCTTGCTGAGGGGGCTCCCGTGATGCTCAATCCCACCCCCTTCTCCTCTGCTTCCAAGGCCCTGGTCATCAGCAATTCGGCCCGGAAGACCTCCACGGTGGGGGAGATCGTCAACCTGATGTCGGTGGATGCCCAGCGCTTCATGGACCTGGCGACCTACATCAACATGGTGTGGTCGGCCCCCTTCCAAGTGATGCTGGCCCTCTACTTGCTGTGGCAGGTAGGCGGGAAGGGGCTCCCTGAGGCCCGGGGGGGAGGGAGGGAGGGGGGGTATTGCTAACACCCTGCGAGGCCTCTCCAGATCGTGAGAACTGAGGCGCCTCCAATGGTCTCCCTAGAATCTGGGCCCTTCCGTGTTGGCTGGCGTGGCCGTCATGCTGCTCCTGGTGCCTGTGAATGCGGTGATAGCGATGAAGACCAAGACCTACCAGGTGGGGGCCCTGCTGGGGCGGCCAAATGGGCTTGGCCATGGTGGGTGGGAGGGGGGGCTGGGGTTGCCCTCTTCTCAACCTCGGCACCTTTAAGGCGGCTGGACTTCAACTCCCAGAATTCCTCGGCCAGCAGTTGACGTCCACTCGCGGGAAAGTTGCTGCCGTTGAGAGACGCTGGCTGGGATTGGTCAGAGCTGCCCTTCGGCCTTTTCTTTTCTTTTAATATAAATTTTTATTTTCATTACACAGACAACACACACACACAACAATTAAAAAAAACAGAAAAACAAAAAATAGCAATAGCAATAGCAGTAGACTTATATACNGAATTCCCCAGCCAGCGAATGCTGGCTGGGGAATTCTGGGAGTTGAAGTCCGGACATCTTCAAGTGGCCAAGGTTGAGAAACACTGGCCTAGTGGATCCGTGGGGTGTTTTGCGGGGCCACAGTGCAGTTCCCCTGGGAGGGCCCTGGGGCAGAGGACCCCTTCCGTGTGACGCTGAGGCCGAAACGTCCTCTTCCCCTCAGGCTGATGATTCACGGGTACCGGCAGCCGCTAGAAGCCAAGGATTTATGGTCTCTGAACAAGGAAGACACGTCGGAGGAGGTGGTGCCCGGCTTGGCTGCCCACTGGGCCCGGGAATACGCCCGGGCCAGGAAGTGCGTGTTTCTCCCGGAGGCTGTTAGTGCTCGGCCTGGTTTTGAAGACCGAGGGGGGGGCTTTTCCAGGAGGACCCCTTTTGTGCGACACTACTCACACCTGCACAAAAGTGTTTTCTTTGTTCCCTTTAGTGCCCCTCCTTCCACAGAGAAGGCAAGCGTGGGAGGCTCATTTGGTTTGGGGCCCTTAAATTAAGTGGGTGATGATCAGGAGCCCCCGGGGCCTTCCAGCGCTAAGTGGGGGGTCCCTTGTCCCCCCACAGCACAAACCGTCTTGTGGCTGCTTTCCCTGGCTGATGCTTTCGGGGTGCGCTGAGCTGCAACTCCCATCCTGGCTGGTGGTTCTGGCCAGAAGTGTGGGGGTGCTGGGGGAGGGCCCTGATCCCAAGGGGGGGAAGCCCCACAATCCACCCTGGGAGCTTTGGTGACCTGAGCAGGTGTTTGGGTCGTGGTCCCAAAGAGGCCTCCATACCGGCCCCTTTCTCCCTCCGCAGGCTCCTGAGCCCCCCCATGCGCTACTCGCCCAAGAAGCCGGCCAGCTCCGACGGGGCGGAAGAGGCGGAGGCCCTGATCCTGGAGCCGCCTTCAAAGGGCCGGGAGCCCTCGCTCACCCGGGTGCTCTACCAGACCTTCGGGCCCTACTTCCTGATGAGCTTCCTCTTCAAGGCCTTCCACGACCTCATGATGTTCACGGGGCCGGAGCTCCTGAAGTGGGTGGCAGACCCCCCCTCCCTCCCTCCCTGCCCTTGGAGGGCTTGGCTGCTCCCTTGCAGGGCTCCTCCTGGGTGGCAAACTCCCTCCGGGACTTCAGGCGGCTGAGCCCGGCATCCCAGCCATCGCACCCCCCTCCCCCCCTTCTCTGGCCTTTGATGTTTTCGGTTGTGCTTCCTTTGCTGCTTTGAACCTCACAGGGGTCTCTGTCTTTGTCCCAGGAGCCCCCGACCTTTGGGGTGGGTGGGTGGGGGGGTTTGGGC